AGTATACTGAAGGAGCGTCTCCACCCGTATCGTTCTGCCTAAACACTGAGGTCCAGCGCCGAGGGCCTTCTGGCGGTTCCCTCACTGCAAGAAGCAAAGCTACAGGGAACCAGGCACAGGGCCTTCTTGGTGGTGTCATCTACCCTGTGGAACGCCCTCCCATCAGATGTCAAGGAAATAAACAATTATTTGACTTTTAGAAGACATCTGAAGGCAGCCCTGTTTAAGGAAGTTTTTAATGTTTGATGTTTTATCGTGTTTTTAATATGCTGCTGGGAGCTGCCCAGAGTGGCTGGGGAAACCCAGCCAGATGGGTGAGGTATAAATAAATGATGATGATGATGATGATGATGACAGGATTCTTTTTAAAAAACATTAAAGAATAATGCATCCCTCTGCAATCTGAAGTGGCCCAGAATTCTTTCCCCCCTCAGTCTCCCATCTAACTCTGCTGAATGAGTTAAATGGGCTTTGAAGCTGACACTTCAGACAGGGTGTGTGTGGGTGTGGGTGTGTTGGCTGTGACACTGAACTCTTCACCCCCAGGATCCTCTTAAGAACATAAGAACCTGTTGGATCAGGCCAGTCGCATCCTGCTCTCACAGCGGCCAATCAGATGTGGGAAACCAGCAAGCAGGATTCGAACACAAGAGGTCTCTCCCTTCCCGCTGCGGTTTCCAGCAACTGGTATTCAGAAGCACTGTTGCCTCCAACTGAGCACAGAGCACAGCCATTGTGGCTATAGTATCCCTCGATAGCCCTCCTCCTCCATGAATTTTGTCTAATCCTCTTTTAAAGCCGTCCAACTCGGCTGCCCTTACTGCCTCCTGTGGGAGGGAGTTCCATAGTTTAACTATCGGCAGCCAGTGTGGTGTAGTGGTTAAGAGCGGTGGACTCGTAATCTGGGGAACCGGGTTCGCGTCTCCGCTCCTCCACATGCAGCTGCTGGGTGACCTTGGGCTAGTCACACTTCTCTGAAGTCTCTCAGCCCCACTCACCTCACAGAGTGTTTGTTTTGGGGGAGGAAGGGAAAGGAGATTGTTAGCTGTTTTGAGACTTCTTAAAGGTAAAGGGACCCCTGACCATTAGGTCCAGTCGCGAGCGGCTCTGGGGTTGCAGCGCTCATCTAGCTCTATAGGCCGAGGGAGCTGGCGTTTGTCCACAGACAGCTTCCGGATCATGTGGCCAGCATGACTAAGCCGCTTCTGGCGAACCAGAGCAGCGCACGGAAATGCCATTTACCTTCCCACCAGAGTGGTACCTATTTATCTACTTGCACTTTGACGTGCTTTCGAACTGCTAGGTTGGCAGGAGCAGGGACCGAGCAACGGGAGCTCACCCCATCGCGGGGCTTCGAACAGCCGACCTTCTGATCGGCAAGTCCTAGGCTCTGTGGTTTAACCCACAGCGCCACCCTTGTCCCTTGAGACTCCTTAGGTAGTGATAAAGCGGGATATCAAATCCAAACTCTTCTTCAACTATCCCTGAGGGCAGCAGGGGCGCAGTGCTCTGTTCTTTCTGGGCCTGCCCCCCCCCCAGCACTTGCCATTTGAAGCAGCTGCCTTGCTCTGCCCTTATTTTATAGTAAAGCAGGTTTGAGGAACTGTTAGCTCCCCTGACATTGCCCAACTCCCAAGTCCCTTCCATTGGTCTCAGCAGGCACAGCCAGGTGCCTAGGATGATGGCGGTTAGAATTATCTGGTCCAGCAATGCTGGAATCTTTAGTTCAGCATCAATCTGGGAAAGGGCCAAAAGTCCCCCAGACCTCTGCTAAAGCATGCAGTGGCAGTGATTCCACTTCCCCACCCGTTCTTCCCTTATTCACATTAACCGTTCTCCCCATGTGCGCTACCTAAAGTTTATCAGAAGAGGCCTTGCTCTGTCCATTTACGCAGCTGGAAAAAGACAGTGACACCGCTTGAGGTTGTGATGGACCCCGGAGTTCTTGAAAGAGTCTCGTCTCTGTAGTAGGGCTTTCAATCATATTCCTGGTTTGTTATATTGTGTGGTTTGGGATACTAGGGATTTGCCGCTTGCTTTTGTGCTGCTTGCTTATGGTTGTATTTTTTTAAGAAATAAAATTTACATTTTCCGTTTCCTCACTTAACACCAAATGGGGGAATCTCAGAATAGGTTTGCGTTGTATGGAACCAGGTCAACAAGAGTGGAAATGCATAAATAAATGTGTGCTGTTTCAATGACAAGGCTTACAACTGTGTCTCCATGCTTCTTTGCAATGCCTTCTCAGTCACTCTTGTGACAACTCCATAAAGTATGCATTATACCCATTTTGCAGTTAGGAGCTGAGGTCTGCCGGAGTCCAACTGGTTTCTTCACAGCTGATGGGACAATTTGAACCAAAGACTCAGCTAGCTTTTCTGCATGGAACCGCAAGCAGAACTGGAATGCCATTATGGCAATTGTGTGAATTTAATGGCAGATTGATAAATGTGAAATAAAAATCCCTGAGGGATTACAACTGCACAGTGGTGAGCTCTCCAGATTTCTTCCCAAGACAGCAGATAACTGGCCATTTGCTGGCATTCACCAAGAACCTACCTGGGTGTGGAAGGTGTAGCTCCAATTCTGCTCCAAGCCAAGTGAAGCAAACATTTATGATTTTTCAGTCTGAAGTTTCTGTCAAAGGCTTAGTGCAATGAGAGCCCTTTGGTTTAACAGGCCTGTTTGGCGTTCTTTGTCACATCATGACGCCTCCCTTAAAGCCTGAGATATAGGAATGACATTTAGTATGATTTTCAGGGCACAAATCTCTGCTTCAGGTTTTGAACAGCTATTTTCAACCAAAGGGGAAGAAGGTCTAGCAAGTGAGAGAGGAGAGGTGCAAAGTACCTCGTAAGTAATGTCTCCCTTGAGCAAGGACTAATCTCAGTGACACTTGGGTGAGGTCAAGAATTCTCCAAACTGCAGCTCAAACTTTTGTTGCTGTTGTTGTTAAGGGGCAAGGCAAGGTAGGAGACAAATACACTGAATTGTGATATCTGAAGTGCCACTTCTACAATGCTGATCTGTGTTCCCCATGCCATTTCTCTCTCACGTGCACCTACCTACTACCTTCCTTCAGGAAAATAAAAATCTATAAGCAAGTCTACCCATCCAGACCATCATCCTTCCCAAATCAGTGGCATGCATATCCTATCTCCTTGCCTAGCCCTGTGTGGCTTATACTCAGCACTTGGGACAAACTAATTCAGATAAATTCAAAAACCCATGAATTAAACCCAAAAAGAGTTTCTATAATTTCTGGGTGAGCTTTATATTGATTCGTGTTGCGCCGTTTTATCACCTGTCCACCCAGATCTTCTGGGAGCTCTTAGCAAGTTGCCTTCACCATCCTGAATAATTTGTCAGTACCTGCAAACTTGACTGCCTCTCTGTTCACCTGTTCAGATGACTTATGAACAATGTAAATAAAGCCCCAATACACATTGGAGGCCCAGCTCTGACTCCTCTGGGCTGGGTGAGGAGTTCCCAGCAGAAGCTGAGCTAAGCCCAACTCTTTTACTACAGACTGGCTGCTGGAGCCTACGCCTGCACTGGAAAAGGAGGGGACTTCATCACTGCTTATAAATCAACAGGGCTACTGCTGACAGTGGGAGTATGTACAAAGTATGGACAGAGGTTTTGATTGACAGGCTGACAAACATTACTGGCAAGAATATAAAGATAGCCCTACTTGAAATGACCAAAGGCCCATCTATTCCAACTTCATGTTCTCACAGGGAGCAACCAGATGTCATGGGGAAGCCCATAAGCAGGGCAGAAGTACAATAACTTGCTCATGGTTCCTGTAAGTGGTATTCAGAGATACACTACCTCTGATACGGGACGTAGTACACAGCCATCATGACTAAGCCATCATGGATGTGTTTTAAAGTTACTGATCCGTAAGAGGGCCTGGCCTCTTATTCTACAATGACAAAGTGTGCTCCAAGAACCTTTGCTGAGGGCCTTTGTCAAAAACATTTTGGGAGTCCAAATATACAATGTTAACTTCGACCCAGATCTTTGGACACATTAACACTCTTTTAGTGCCAGATTAAACACACCGTTTCTCCTAGGGCATTTGAGGGAATGTGATCACCATGCTTATTGCTGTGTCAGATGTATGTGTGTCGTATTTTACTGTGAAACTTGATGGCTGTTTTTAGTTGTATGTGGAAGCAGCCTAGAGATGTTCTGTATTAGCAATAAATAAATCAAATTATTATTATAATCAATATAACAATAGACAATCTCAAATAATTCTAATAGGTTGATGATGCAGAAACTTCCCTCTGCAGAAGCCATGCCTATTCTTCATAAGCAACGCTTATTCTTCCATAATATCCTTGATCATTTTATCTTTAAAAGCTACAGTGTGTAGCATGTGGGCAGATGTACTGCACCTCCAGGATTCCCTTCAATGTACAGCCTTCCCTTATTCGCTCATCATGATTTTGTTAGGATCTTAACACCTACAGATACAAAGAAAACCCTTATGTATGTATACTTTTTCTTGCAGTCCCTGCCTCAGTGCCAATTCATACAATCTAACTGCCATGACAAGAAAGGCTGAGTGGATCCATGAAGAATTCTGTGCATGGTGAAGAAGCCAGTTCATTAAGTGGCTAATTGATTCCCATTGAGTGTGTTGCTGCTGAAATCTGGCTGAGTGGCGACAGCTGGTAAATGTAAATTAAAAATGGTGAACTGGGAGCTATACACGCTCACATAACCTGCCCATGCACCAATTGTTTCACCTTGTATAATGCCTGAGTGGTGATGGTGAGCTTTTCTCAGCTAGCCTCTTTCAAAGACATTACAAGACTGGCTCTGATCACCCATTCTTACACATTCCTAAGTGTTTCCTTGCAAATCCGTAGTCTGCAACTGGCAAAGGCCAGGGGGTGGTCAGATCCCCCTCCTCCCCACCTCCAAATCCCAGGGCAAAAAAAAAAAGAATAAATCTGTTGCTCCCCAGTGACGTGACAGGGTTCTGATCCGATCCAATCCATCTTGAATTTTTATGTTTTCCGGTTAAGGTTTTGTGAAACACTGTATCAAACTTTTTTTTTTGTACTAAAATACAGATATATATTACAGCTACTGTATTCCCTTCTCCACCAATCTTGCCATTTCCGTCGATCCCATTCCTCCCGCGCATGTCACGTAATGGGCGCAAGGGCACATCTTGCCCTCCCTGCCGCCCCCAACGTAGGGTAAACGTCCTCTGGTGGCTGACAATATACTCACGAACCCTAGTGGCTTGGGGAGTTGAAGGCTAACCAAGCTACCAGATAACCTTTACTGATTATATTTTGGACTTTCCTAGAACGACCGATGGGAAAGTTGGGCTGAGCATATTAAGGGTGTATGTGCCTGGGCCTACATGGCTGGGCAAGCCTTTACTCTAGTTTAGCTCTGTCCCCCTCTCTCGCTGAGATTCCCTAATGTTGCGGAGAGCTGAGATTTAAAGGCCGATCGTGCCAGTGTATACTCAGAAGTTAGTTCCACAGAGTTTGGTGAAGTTTACTCCCCAATACCTTGAGGCCTGTTGCTTTAAAGAGTGGCTTCTGAAGGGCTAAACTCACATATATATATTTATGTCATTCCTCCCCTCATAATTTGGCTGTGGCTTTTTTGAGGTCATGGAAGGGAGGTTTGCTCTCCACAGAGGCTTGTCAAATGTCCTTTGGCACTTCTGCATAAACCGCGATACTTGATGGCTGGTTATCATTGCACTTGAGCATAACAGGATGTAACCGCACAACCCTTTTGGTTCCCATACTGGCAATGTTTGAGTGGCCTCTTAAGTGTTAATTATTTGGCAAACATAGTGACATGGCCATGCTACGTCGTGCGCTACGTCTCCCACACTGCTGAATCTTCCCTCGGTTTCTTACCGTGTTTCCCACAGTGATTTGTTTAAAACTCTTTGTTTTAATTTTGATTTTTAGCGGCTGGGTGGGGCGCATCCAGTTGGGCTCATGGGTGCTGGGGTGATTAACCCTTTCCTCCGGTGACATTTTTCTGATGAATATCAACACACACCCCAAAAGCTGCAATTTACCTATAGGAAAGGTAAATTTCCCTCAGCGGGACAAAAAACACCTTTGGAGGGAGGAATTGTCACCAGGAAAATAGTATTGGGAAAAGAGTTAGCCGTCCACTAGAGCCACAGTCCCAACTGCTTTCGATCCTGGGTGCTATTAAATAGCTGGAGATCCATTCACAGGCCTCCTGCTGTCCTTTCCTCACCCTCACCCCCAATCCTTGGCCCTTCATGGCCCACCAGCTTTTTGAGCCCATGCACTCCTTTCCCACATGCTTTTTTCGCTTGTTTCCAACCGGGTCCTTCATGCCACTAATTCAGGCCCGGCCCTGCCATTAGGCAAGGTGCTGCAGCCTTCCCCAAGCAACAGATCTTGGGAGCACCGTTACAGGGCAGGCAAATAGTCAATTGTTTTATCTTTTTTACTACTATGCAGGATGCCATTTGGATTTTCTTAGGCCCTCCCTCTAGGTTTTTTCTTTGATTTTTTAAAAAAAATCCAGCCTCCTTTTCTTCTCGCCTTCCTCTGGCTCTGGCCAGAGCAGATTCTTTCTGCTTCTTCAGGCCCTTGGTTCTTTGTGAAGCTGCTCTAAGCTCGCTTCACGGTCCTACAGGCTCCTTGTAATGTCAATAGCTGCTGCTGGTGGGCTGTGTGAAAGGAAGGGGGGGGGCTTTTGCACAAGGTGAAATGGCGCGTCCGTCCGTGTTGCCACCCGGGGACCCCTCTTGGGCGTGAGGCAAGGTTTCGCTTCGCCCTGCTCTCTGCAGGTCCCTCTTCCTGGTAGATTTGAGGCCTAGCTCTGCCCTGAAGCCTGCTTCCGCTTCAGCTAGCGAGAGGCATGGACGTTGTGTTTTATAGTTCTTCAATGGCTACGCTGGACAGGGCAAAAATAGCTGCACCGGTGGAACTACCTCTCTATTCAGCTCAAACCGCGGGGACTGGGTTAGCTGCTACACTGCTGTTGGGATGGTGGGGGCACAGTTGTCCAAACGTCTAAGAAGACCCATTTCTGTCCTAGTCTTCAGCTGCCACCAAGAGCAGGGGAGATCGTGAATGGAGGATCACAATTCTGGTGGGGAGGGTGTCGTGAGGTTGTTTGCTGACATTTGCCTCTCGCAATTACAACGCAGAATACCATCCCAGAGCGGGGTGGGGTGGGGTGTTTGGGCACTAATTCCTGCAGCCAGAAATTCCTCCTGCCTATGGGATTATATCCCGAGTTAGGGGAGCTGCTCTGACCAACTTCCTTCTTTGCCTCGCCCTCCTCCCGAGTTGTAATATTGGTTCCAGCCAGGGAAGTAAAGCATGGACCCCACCCCAAGCAGACACCAGGTTCGAGGAAAATGCTATTTGGCACGAACCCCGGAACTCAACTGGCAAGGTGCCGACCCTGCTGGCAAGCAAGAGGGAGGTTTTGCTTCCCACCTTTGCTGCGACCCCCTTCCACCTCTCGCTCTCCAGGCCCAAGGGTTACATTCAGTGTTTAGAGGAGTCACCCTACAGGCGGAGATGTTGTCGCACCCCACGGCGGCAGCTGGAGAGAGAAGCCAGCTAGCCAACCCCGATCCTGCCACCCCACCCCGGTCCCCCCTTCGTGGTACAGCTGCATTACCTGGGCAGGATGAGTGGAGAATGCAAAAGTTTTCTGGTGGCTGAAATCCCCAAAGGGAACTGGGTGGGGATTCGGGCTCACCTTACCCTGTTCAGAGACAATTTAAATTTACATGTAAAAGTATCAAATGGGCCAGTCTCAGGCGCCGGGCAGCCCCCCCCGTGGGCCGGAGGGCGGGCAAAGTTGCTGAAAGGTTAAAAATGGAGAAAGACTTGGCAAGGAGGTGGCCCTGGCAGAGTCCGTTGCAGCGGTAGCGTCTTGGCACCAGTTCTTGGTTGGTTCTTGGGAAGGAGGGTGCTGGGAAACGCCCTGGAAGCTTTTCCCGGAAAGGCTGGGATCCCTTTGAAAAGAATGTGTTAAAAAGTCCCAGGGGCGTCACTTCTGTGAAACACCAGGTCGGAGTGTGCGCATCGCCTCGTCCCCCAATGTGGTAGGTTTGGGGTAAGGGTAGGGGTACCGGCGTCACACTCTCCTCCATCAGCAGCCAATCAGCAGAGGGGGCAGAGGCCAAAGCTGGCAATTCATGAGGGATGGACGTGTCTCCGGAAGTGGCACGCAGGTGAGGTCTGCAGATTCTGAGGCTTCGAGTTGGACGTTTCCCCCCCATTGGCAGCAGCGAAGGAAAGGCAGTGAGGGAGGTGGGGAGGGAGGAGGAAGGATGAGAGAGTTCAATCCAGATACCAAGGAGAGAAGGGCCCTCCTGCCTCTTCTACATTATATCCTCTGCGGAGGAGAAAACACAAGAGCGTCACCAATATAAACAAGACTGCACAAAAGCTGGCAATAGGAGTGCTGTATGTACTCTTGCTTGGGGCGGGCAGTGGTGGCAGCAGTGGAGAGAACAGCTAAAATTCTGCATTCAACATAAGCCCAAACCCTGCATCGAGGAATGCTGAATTCTGTGGATAGTACCTTCAAGAAGGACACTGACAAACTCGAACGTGTCCAGAGGAGGGCAACCAAAATGGTCAAAGGCCTGGAAACGATGCCTTATGAGGAACGGCTAAGGGAACTGGGCATGTTTAGCCTGGAGAAGAGGAGGTTAAGGGGTGATATGATAGCCATGTTCAAATATATAAAAGGATGTCATATAGAGGAGGGAGAAAGGTTGTTTTCTGCTGCTCCAGAGAAGCAGACACGGAGCAATGGATCCAAACTACAAGAAAGAAGATTCCACCTAAACACTAGGAAGAACTTCCTGACAGTAAGAGCTGTTCGACAGTGGAATTTGCTGCCAAGGAGTGTGGTGGAGTCTCCTTCTTTGGAGGTCTTTAAGCAGAGGCTTGACAACCATATGTCAGGAGTGCTCTGATGGTGTTTCCTGCTTGGCAGGGGGTTGGACTCGATGGCCCTTGTGGTCTCTTCCAACTCTATGATTCTACCTTATGCGAATTGGCAACTGCTAGATTTCCTGCTATTTGCATGGAGGGGTTAGGAGGTATGTGTGACCCTGGCTGTTGTCACTCCAAAAGCTTCTGAGATGTCAGTTTCACTAGGCACTTTCAAGCTTATCTTCACAGCCATAGTGGGTAGAGCGGGCTTCCTCAAACTCAGCCCTCCAGATGTTTTGAGACTACAATTCCCATTATCCTTAACCACTGATCCTGCTAGCTAGGGATCATGGGAGTCGTAGGCCAAAAACATCTGGAGGGCCAGTTTGAGGAAGCCTGGGCTAGAATCTTAGTGGTGATCTTTTCCTTTTTTTAAATGAAATTGAGAATGTTTAGTTCTGTGCCCCAATACTCAGTTCAACTGTTATACAGAATTGTGATGTACCCAAATGCTAACAAAGGAGTTATGTTTATCCCCACCAAGCCCTCAGCTCAAGTTGCTATGCTTCGTCTTAACCCGAGGCTGATGGACCATTCTAGGCCCTGATACTCAAGGTGTCAATTTAGCCCCACTTCCTCAATTAAAGTCACTCTGAACTGTTCTCTAACACAGTGATGCAGTTGAAGGAACAAGAAGCATTTGCCTGTGTGCAAGACTGCATGTGTGCACCCAATCTGCACCCGAATCTAATTTCTGTTTGCGTATGAGACTGGGCAAATGACCCGATGACCAATTTTTTTAAAAATGGCACCAACTTCCTTATATATTAGTAGCAGATATGCCTGGCAGGTCTGTGCTTCAGAAGCTGCCTTAGTTAAAGGACGGGCTCTGCTCTGTGAGGCAGGATTGACAACAAAGGGTGTTCGGTTTTCCCTTTAGGTTGTTCCTTCAGGGAGATATGGGGCACCCCACCAAGTCAGGATACAGAATCGTCGGCCCAGCACTGTAGGCGACAGGCCTGTGACCAGGGTGATAGCCTGGAAGAGGGGAAGTTTGGTTTGGTGGTGTTTCCCCTGAGTGAGAGACGGCAGGGAGGGTTGTTGAAGTGGCATCACGATCTTCCACCTGCCCATGTGGGGTGTGCCTAGATCCTAATCTCACAGCTATATATAGTGAGACCAGATGTTGGTGCTGCAATGACTGGAGATGTCTGAGTTTGAAGTGTTGGGAGCTATACACTGCAGTGATGCAGCGCCATGACCCTCCGTGGGCTGGTTCACATCCTGAGCACTGTATGTGCACAAATAGTCAGGGGAACAAGGGCTTGCGACAACACAAAGAGCCCGCGAACCTGCCTACTTGTAACTCCCATTTCCCCAGACAAAGAGGAGAGGGGTAGATGGGTGAGACAGCATGGAACATAAATGTGTGTCCGTACACTCAACTCTCGCACTCGCACTCTCATTCCCTTAAGACAAAAAGTGGGGGTAGTCTCCTAACACAGTACAGATATGTGGACAGGGACATGACAGAACTAGGCTAGGCCTCCACTAACAGGTGTAGCACAGACCAGGCCGCAAGGCCACACCGACACAAAGAACTTACCGCAGTGCCAACAAAATCTGTTGAAAATATAAAAAGAGAAGGTTAGGGTTGAGCTCTGGCTTCCAGGGGTTCCCTAGCAGCCTTATTTCCTCACTCAAAAGCTTCCTTGGCTGCTCTGATTGCCTCGTGGGGTGTGATGGTGCAAATGTCACAAGAAGGATGCTCTGCGACTTTCAGCCTAATCACAGGCTATAAATGTTCAGAAACAGGCAGCATTAAGTTCAATGGGATTTTCAGTTTATTATTATAGTGGTGCCTCGCAAGACGAAATTAATCCGTTCCGCGAGTCTCTTCGTCTTGCGGTTTTTTCGTCTTGCGAAGCACGGCTATTAGCGGCTTAGCGGCTATTAGCGGCTTAGTGGCTATTAACGGCTTAGCGGCTATTAACGGCTTAGCGGCTATTAACGGCTTAGCAGCTTAGCAGCTTTAAGAAAAAGGAAACAAACTCGCAAGAACTCGCAAGATGTTTCGTCTTGCGAAGCAAGCCCATAGGGAAATTTGTCTTGCGAAGCACCTCAAAAAACGGAAAACTCTTTCGTCTAACGAGTTTTTCGTCTTGCGAGGCATTTGTCTTGCGGGGCACCACTATATTACTACTGCTACTACCACTCTGTTTTAAACAATTCTGCAGTTTGTGTTTTAGTGTTGCGGCTTTCTGTTTTTGTTTTATTACTTAAGATTAATTTCATTTTTCATTTGGGAATACTTTTTTGGTAGAGACTTTATTTTGCTCTACAACTCCTGCACGGAAGTGTGCAGCTATTCCTTTTTTAAAAAAAAAAAAAGCAGAGAGACAGCAGAAAGGACATCACCTGTCTTCCTGCTGCTGTTGCTGCTGCAGCAGCAATATTTATTTTTCTTTTCTCCCTTGCCTCCTGGCATGTGAGGTTGGACAAAGTCTACCAACTCTTCCAACCATCTCTTGCAAGCTCTGCCTTTAAAATCCACTTGATCTGCAGGAGAAGCAGCTCTGCAAATTATCGCTGACTTATTGCTGATAAATCCTCGGGAATAAGGAGTCACTGCAAAGCTAGCAAACAAAGGAAAGGATACAAGGCTGCTTAATTTGGGTTGGGAAAGGGTTAATGTGACTTATTCATCCCTTGTTTGAAAAAGACCTGGGGAAGGGACCGTATTTTTCGCTCTATAAGACGCACCAGACCATAAGACGCACCTGGTTTTTGGAGGAGGGAAACAAGAAAAAATAATATTCTGAATCTCAGAAGCCAGAACAGCAAGAGGCATCGCTGCGCAGTGATCCCTCTTGCTGTTCTGGCTTCTGGGATAGCTGTGCAGCCTGTATTCGCTCCATAAGACGCACACACATTTCCCCATACTTTTTGGGAGGGAAAAAGTGAGTCTTATATAGCAAAAAATACGGTAATTGTTTTCGGGAGTCGTCACTGTAGGGCCCACAGAGGACAGGGCAGAGGATTGGCGGTTTGCTGTAGGATCTACTGACCTCAGGACAAGCGTGCACAAGGAATATTTTGTTTTTTCTCTCTGTGCATCGACAAAAAGCAGGGATTTGCTTGGCTCGCAGTTCCCTCCCAGCAGCAGTGACTGCTGCTCAAGCACTTGGGTTCCGGCTGGCGAGACTGCCTTGTCTTGATTCGAACAGATGGACCAAGCCCGGAGGCCAGGAGATTTATTATGATTAATTACATTTCCAATTAGGCACCTTCGGTTTCCCTGGCTCCCACCCAAGCCTCGGCAAGGCCAGGGGAAGCAGAAACAGAAACAGAAGGTGGCCGCTGTTTTCCCTCCATGGCCTAAAGGACTCAGAGTGGCAGCAGCAGAACCCTGGAGTTTGAATGCACCTTGGTCCAAAAGTGGAGGGCTGGGAGGCTGATTTAAAGAGCACAAATGGTCTCTCTGTGTGAGAGGAAGATCCTAAGTCTGTGTATAGGGATGGGAAAGTCCGTTGATTTCAGTTTCTCTCCGTTTCTCAATTTTCTCTAGTCTTAATTCAGACCGCACATTTCCACATCGGTTTGCTATATATATATAAATCAGGGCCGGATTTAGGTTTGATGAGGCCCCAAGCTACTGAAGGTAATGGGGCACATTATATGTCCAGCTGTCCTTTGCCAACAACAAATTGTCACTGTTTTTTGGTGTTGAATATATGCTATATGGTAATTTATGGACCTAATAGGTATCTAAAGCCATTTGCCACTGTTGCTGTATGTAGGTTTTATTTTATTTGCTTTTTATCTTATATTTTGGAAATGTACATCCAGTTTTTTCCCCCTTTAATTTTTTTGGGGGGGCCTCCAAGAGAGTGGGGCCCTATGCTATAGCTTGTTTAGCATATACGTAAATCTGGCACTGATACAAATTCAGTCGTACCTTGGATCCCGAACACCTTGCGACTCGAACGTTTTGGCTCCTGAACGCTGCAAACGCAGAACTGAGTGTTCCGGTTTGCAAACGTTCTTTGGCAGCCGAACGTCCTATGCGGCTTCCGATTGAGTGCAAGAAGCTCCTGCAGCCGATCGGAAGCCGCACTCCTTGGTTGTCAAACCGTTTTCGGAAGTTGAACGGACTTCCAGAACGGATCCCATTCGGCAACCAAGGTACAACTGTAACAAAAACTCAAAAGCATTTTAGCAGGGGTTTCTCCTAATACAGACGTTTATACACCATTTTACAACCGTGCACACATTTTTGCAAAGTGTTTTCGCCTCATAATGCATTTCTAAAAGGTTATTTTCAGGAGTGTGTGCATTTTATGCATGCTTCACATTTTTGTAAATGTAATGGTGCACCTTCTCTTGCCTTTTCAGCCCTTGCAGCAACTACTTCCTTGGGTGGGAGTAGTATTGGATGAAAATGAAAGTTAGTCTGGCCTTCATCATGAAGGGGTGTGTGTGTGTGTGTGTGTGTGTGTGTGTGTGTATCAGGCATAGGCAAACTCGGCCCTCCTGATGTTTTGGGACTACAACTCCCATCATCCCTAGCTAAGAGGACCAGTGGTCAGGGATGATGGGAGTTGTAGTCCCAAAAACAGCTGGAGGGCCAAGTTTGCCTATCCCTGGTGTATATAATCAGGTGTGGGGAGCCTTTGATGCTCCACATGTTGCTGAACTACAGCTCCCACCATCCCCAAACACTGGCCATATTTGCTGCGGCTCAGCAACATTTGGAGGGCCAAAGGTTTCCTAAATCTAGTATATATAATGAACATGGAAACACCGTTTACCTTCCCGCCAGAGCGGTACCTATTTATCTACTTGCACTTTGACGTGCTTTCGAACTGCTAGGTTGGCAGGAGCTGGGACCGAGCAACGGGAGCTCACCCCGTCACAGGGATTTGAACCGCCGACCTTCTGATCGGCAAGCCCTAAGCTCTGTGGTTTAACCCACAGCGCCAGGAAAGGTAGGCTCCCTCTATCTAAGGGCAGCCCAACTGTTCATAGCAAGTGGGCCGCAAGAGTACTTCTACACACAACTCGTGGGCCGCACCCTGCCTTGTCACCCTCCCACCTCCTCCTAAAAGCTGAGGAAGCGCTAACTATGCTTTGGGAAGGAGGCGGGAGGACTCTTGGACCTTGTCAGAGCCCTCACACCTCCTTTCCAAAGCTCTACCTTCTGCACTCGGCTTGAGGAAGCTCTGCTGCATCACAGAGGGGCACGGGGAGGGCGACACTCACCTTTGTTCTCTGTTTTGAGCTCCTCGTGAAGCAGGTCATTCTGCCGGTTGCCGAGGACAAAGGCCAGGAAGGAGAGGATGAGGGCATTCAAGATGCCAATGATGGCTAGGATGTAAGCCCAGCGCACGGAGCAGTCGCCCAGCGAGTACTTGCCCGTCTTCTCCCCACACATGTCCCTGACGGTCTCTGAATCCCAGCCATCTGGGAATATCATGCAGCCCAGCACCAGGCAGAGAGCTGGATGGAACAAAGAAATAAACAGGGGTGGGGGTGGGGAAGGCATGTGGTTAACGCAACAGGGCTGAAATAAATTGCTCTGCTTTGCAGTCTGGAAAGGAGTAGGGACCTTTGCAAGACGTATAACGAGTACCGTATTTTTCGCTCCATAAGATGCACCAGACCACAAGACGCACCTAGTTTTTGGAGGAGGAAAACAAGAAAAAAAATATTCTGAATCTCAGAAGCCAGAACAGCAAGAGTGCACAGTGAAAGAAGCAATTCTTCTTGCTGTTCTGGTTTCTGTGATAGCTGCGCAGTCTGCATTCACTCCATAAGATGCACACACATTTCCCCTTACTTTTTAGGAGGGAAAAAAGTGAGTCTTATAGAGCAAAAAATACGGTATATACCGGTAGGCTTCCCCCACAAACCATGTGCCAAAGGGTTTGACTCTTACCCAGGTTTGGTTCCCTTTATACAAGGAGGTCACTAGAGGCTTTTTCAGCATTTTGTGACATTTGTGTTTGTTTGCAAATATACAGGCTGCGCATAGGTGGAGGTGCAGCTGAAACACTCCCGACAGGCAGACGCAGTTCACAGCTTCCACATCCGATCTCTAGCAGTTGGGCGACGTAGCGTCCTAAGATACTCACAGAGCCCAGAGGCAGATCTCTGCTCCTCTCTTTCTCAAAATCATCGAATGCCCTTGGTTTCCTATGTAATTGCAAGGAAGGCATCCTTCTCAGTTCTGAGGGTTGCACAAATAGAGGCCTTTTGGACCATTTACCGTATTTTTTGCTCTATAAGACTCACTTTTTCCCTCCTGAAAAGTAAGGGGAAATGTGTGTGCGTCTTATGGAGCGAATGCAGGCTGCACAGCTATCCCAGAAGCCAGAACAGCAAGAGGGATCCCTGCTTTCGCTGTGCAGCGATCCCTCTTGCTGTTCTGGCTTCTGAGATTCAGAATATTTTTTTTCTTGTTTTCCTCCTCCAAAAACTAGGCGCGTCTTATGGTCTGGTGCATCTTATAGAGCGAAAAATACAGTACCTGTTGTTTTCACGACGAAGGAGGGACCTGGCAGCTTTGCCAAGGGACTATTAAGACAGACTCTAGTCCAGCCGTTCAGCCTCCGACTCTCACAACAATACTTTGTTCTATGCAAATTCTCAAGCTCGCTTACATAACCCAAATTCTGCACCAAACAGAGACTGTATCTGCAACTTGCACTACTATATTATGCACTTTTAAGTTTGTCATGCATGTATGCATCTATTCTGCCCAGTGCTGGGGGGGGGGCGGTACCAGGAGCTTGTCAAAGAATTCACATCCTGCCCTCTGACCACTGAAAGCCTTACTCAGCTGCTATCCAAGGGCTCAGGTATTGCTCACATGTTTTCAGGTTCTATCCTTACATCCATAAGGTCTAGAAACTTTTTTTAAAGACAGAGGCTAAGCTTCTCAGAATGTCGTTGTGCTGTAGGATATACACAAAAGCCTTAGTGTTGGTGGAAAAATGTATGACGGGAGACTAAAATAGGTGCGTTGAGCTATTTAACAGGAGATATTGAAAGGAGATAGGACAACAGTCTCCTAATATTTTAAAGGGTCCCAGAAATGAGATGTGGCTTTGACCTTTTCCACCAAGACCAGCCCAAGAAGAAAATCCTTTTTAAATATAGGAAGGCATGTTTAGACGAAACACCAAGGGAAAGGGGCTGGTGACAAGATAGATTCTCCTCCCTTGGATTACTGCTTCATTTCTGAAGAACGAGGAGCTGGAGCTCGAAGCAGACCCCACTTTCCCCATAGAAACCCTCTTGTATGGCGATGAACCACGGTTACTCATTTGCAAAGGAAATGTGCTCTCTGTGTGCTTAGGGGCGCTTAGTTTTTAATTACTTCTGCAGATTGCTGCCAGCAGCCCCGATCTTGGTGGATTGCAAGAGAAAAGGTGGGGTGATTTGCATAGGCATCCGTCAAGAGATGCTGCAGGTGTAGAATATTCTGCCTCCCGGACCACGCTTTTGTCTGTATAATCTGCTTTGCCTGTTTCCGCTGTGTGGGATCCTACAGCCAGAGGCTTTTTTCCCTGCATGACAGCAGCCCAAGAGTTCCTTTTTGTTCATTCATATCGAGGTGCTTGATTGACTCCAACTCCTTTTCAGCAGCCGGTCAGACTGCGTCACGGGGTTGAGGATAAAGAAGAGAGGAGGCTGCAGGTTCCCCATCGCCACCCCACTCCGCCAGAGGCTCAGGCCTCGTTCACCAGATTGTGTGCTGCTGATACAGTGTGGGGCGTTGTGTTTACACCTTCCCCTATAGACCACCCTCTGCTTTTGCAGCACAACCTCAGTTGTGGGACCTCTGCCTGGGCTGAATGTGGAGGGAGGAACAAGCCTGGATGGAGACATATGAAACCTGCACTGGGTGTGCGGAAGGATGCTCATTAGCTAGAGCCAGACAGGAATATGAGTCATCATCCCAGCTATTCTTACCTTGACAAGATGCTTATATATACATACACACACACACTCAGGTACAACACAGAGCAAGGGGAGGAGGGGAATTCTTTTAAAATCTCGGCTAAGGAGGTTCGGGCGGAGGCTGGGGTGGGAGAGGATGGGAGAGGTTTAAAAACCTATAACTAAAGAAGACACTGTATTTTCCACCTTTTAAAATAAATAAGTCGACCTAAATGGCTCTATCCCGCCCACCAGGCTGGGTTTCCCCAGCCACTCTGGGCAGCTTACAGCATATATAAAAACACAACTCATAGAATCATAGAATCATAGAATCATAGAGTTGGAAGAGACCACAAGGGCCATCGAGTCCAACCCCCTGCCAAGCAGGAAACACCATCAGAGCACTCCTGACATATGGTTGTCAAGCCTCTGCTTAAAGACCTCCAAAGAAGGAGACTCCACCACACTCCTTGGCAGCAAATTCCACTGTCGAACAGCTCTTACTGTCAGGAAGTTCTTCCTAATGTTTAGGTGGAATCTTCTTTCTTGTAGTTTGGATCCATTGCTCCGTGTCCGCTTCTCTGGAGCAGCAGAAAACAGCCTTTCTCCCTCCTCTATGTGACATCCTTTTATATATTTGTACATGGCTATCATATCACCCCGTAACCTCCTCTTCTCCAGGCTAAACATGCCCAGCTCCCTTAGCCGTTCCTCATAAGGCATCGTTTCCAGGCCTTTGACCATTTTGGTTGCCCTCCTCTGGACACGTTCGAGTTTGTCAGTGTCCTCCTTGAACTGTGGTGCCCAGAACTGGACACAGTACTCCAGGTGAGGAGTATTGCTACTCTATTCCGAACTTTAAAATGCTAAGCGTAATGCTGGTGGTCAACAAAAGAGGTTCAAAGACTCTCTCAAGGCAAATCTTAAAAAAATGTAGTATAAACACCGACAACTGGGAAACAATGGCCTGCGAACGTACCAATTGGAGAACAGCCTTTACCAATGGTGTCATGGGCTTTGAAGATGCTTGAACTCAGGACAAAAGGGAGAAATGTGATAAGAGGAAGCCACACTTGGCAAACCCTCACCATGATCAACTTCCGCCCGGAAACCTATGTCCCCACTGTGGAAGGACATGTGGATCCAGAATTGGCCTCCACAGTCACTGTTAAGGCCATGTTCATGGAAGACAATCTTACTCGGCTACGAGTGATTGGCAAAGAAGAAGAATATAAAAACACAACAAAACATCATACATTAAGAAACAGAATACAGTGGTACCTCGGGTTACATATGCTTCAGGTTACATACGCTTCAGGTTACAGACTCCGCTAACCCAGAAATAGTACCTCGGGTTAAGAACTTTGCTTCAGGATAAGAACAGAAATCGTGCTCCAGCAGCGCGACAGCAGCAGGAGGCCCCATTAGCTAAAGTGGTGCTTCAGGTTAAGAACAGTTTCAGGTTAAGAACGGACCTCCGGAACGAATCAAGTACTTAACCTGAGGTACCACTGTATCCTTTTTAGGCATCAAACAAACCAACAAAAAATAGAAACCAAAATAATAATAATAATAATAAAAATAAAAATAAAAATAAAAATAAAAATTAAACAAACAAACCAATATGAATGTTAGATTGTTTTAGGGCACTTCCAGAGTGCTGCTATTTTGGGGTGTGATTCCACTGCATCCTGGCAAATTCAGGTTGTGCAATGGTAGCTGACTTGGGAGGTCTAGTGTAACAAAACCTCGTTCTCAAAGGTTGGACGTTTTGCAAAAGGGAAGTGAGAGGAAAGCACACTAAAAAGCATGGAAAGGCACTCGCCGTGACTTAGCATCGCTTGAATTTTCCCCAAACCCATTAGGATGAATGCTCAACAAACAGTTTGTCTACTAGAAGCCATCCCATTTCATCCAAGTCCACTGTTGTGCAGCATCCACTGTTGTGAAATAAATGTGTATGTTCAAAGCAGGAGACAGCACGTTCAAATTTTTGTAAGGACATTTTGGTTAGGAGAAGGGAAGAACTTGTTTCCTTCTCTTCTATTAACTTAGCTGTTCTCTGACAGATTTCTACATTTTACAGATGCAGATGACTCTGAAATCCAGCCGCAACTACATGCCTATCCTAAGTCCAACTGCTAAGAGCGAACCGACCCAATCTACAGCCAGACCGCCAACCCACCCACCCACCCCCTTACAAAAATCCAGCCTCTGCCCTTTCATTTCTCATTTCTCACATCCCTGCAGGTGCCGAGATCTTGTTGGGACCAACCGCCCGAGTTCATCTCCTTAATCGTATTATGTGCAGCTCAGCTGAGCCATAATATCAATCTCAGGGCTTATCCGGAGAGAGGCTCTTAGAGTCCTCCTAGTCAGTCCTGACGGTATGTTCCAGGCCTGTGCTGCTACAGCTGAACATTACATGCTGGCCTCGAGGTGACACTAGGACTTATAAATCAACAAGATTTATGAACGCTCAAGATCTGAAAATAAAAAGGGACAAACAACGGAAAGGGAAACAACTAAAACAAGCCACCTGCTTATCACCAGCC